GGGGTTCTCTGAACCTCCTGGATTTTGATGCTTGTTCCCTTTGCCATATTGGGTAAATTCTCTCCAATAATTCTCTCCAGTATACCTTCAGCTCCCCTCTCTCTTTCTTCTTCTTCTGGAATCCCAATTATTCTAATGTTGTTTCGTCTTATGGTGTCACTTATCTCTTGAATTATCCTCTTGTGGTCTAGTAGCTGTTTGTCCCTCTTTTGCTCAGCTTCTTTATTCTCTGTCATTTGGTCTTCTATATCACTAATTCTTTCTTCTGCCTCATTTATCCTCGCAGTGAGAGCCTCCATTTTTGATTGCACCTCATTAATACCTTTTTTGATTTCAACTTGGTTAGATTTTAGTTCTTTTATTTCTCCAGAAAGGGCTTTTATATCTCACAAGAGGGTTTCTCTAATATCTTCCATGCTTTTTTCAAGCCCGGCTAGAACCTTGAGAAATGTCATTCTGAACTCTAGATCTGACATATTACCAATGTCTGTATTGATTATGTCCCTAGCCTTTGGTACTGCCTCTTGTTCTTTTTTTGGGGTGAATTTTTTTGCCTTGTCATTTTGTCCAGATAAGAGTATATGAAGGAGCAAGTAAAATACTAAAAGGGTGGCAACAACCCCAGGAAAATATGCTTTAGCCAAATCAGAAGAGATCCCAAATCATGAGTGGGGAGAAAGGGGATTAAAAAGAGGTTCAGAAAGGAAAAAAAATTAAATAAAGGAAGCAAATAAAGAAAAAATATAAAAAACAGAACAATATATATATATTAGATAAACTAGTTAAAAAACGTTAAAAAAAGGAAAAGGGTAAGAATTTTTAAAAAATTGGCAGAAGAAGAGAAAAAAATTGAAAAAGAAAAAAAAATTAAGTTAACTGCAAGGCTAAAGAATCATGGGGAGAAAGCCATGACTATCGTGCTTTGCTTTCTCCTCCTCTGGAATTCCGGTGCTCTCCTTGGTATTGAAACTGCACTCCTTGGTAGGTGAACTTGGTTCTGGCTGGATTTCTTGTTGATCTTCTGGGGGAGGGGCCTGTTGTAGTGATTCTCAAGTGTCTTTGCCCCAGGCGGGATTGCACCGCCCGTACCAGGGGCCAGGCTGAGTAATCCGCTCGGGTTTGCTTTCGGGAGCTTTTGTTCTCTGAGCACTTTCTGTAGAGTTCTGGAGGACGGGAATGAAGATGGTGGCCTCCCAGTCTCTGGCCCGGAGGAGCCGAGAGCCCGGGGCCCCACTCCTCAGTGCGCCTTCAGCGAACAGCGCCCAATTACTCCCGTCACCCTGGCCTCCGGCCGCGAAGAGCTACATTTCTTTATCCTCTAAAATTGAATGTTTAATAAGTAGGGTAGAACTACCAAAATTCAACATGACTCAATCCAGGAGAAGAAAATGAGACTTTCACCAGACTCTGGAGGGCTAGTAGAAGTTGTAGGACTTCAGTATTTTTTGTAAAGAGCAAATAGATTATTTCTAAACACAATTACTGATGCAGTACAGTTTTTTTGTTATTCTTTGCTTGCTTTTAGGTTTGCCTCTACTATTTGGATATATTAACCCTAAATTATCTGATTTGCCTCTGGCCTCTTGTTCCTGTCTCAGACTGCTTCTTTTAGAACCTACAGTGTTTAATGCCTTAGAAAACTTGCAGTCCTGAATCCTATTTTCCCATTTCTTGATTCAGGGTGACCGTCTATATCAGCTACTCCATGTGTGAATTTTAAAGGTCATATCCTATGACTAGATGAAATACTTTAATTATTTCTGTGTCATTGAGAATTTTTGTTTCCTACATTTTTCACTGCAATAAATGTTCCTCTATATAAAATATGGCTTGTATCTCTATTTTTCCTCTGAGTATATTTCTAGAAATAGAATATAATGGACCTTTTAAGCCAACAATATACTGGAAAATACACTTCCAGAAATTTCATATAAATACTGTTAAACAATGCTTAAGTCCATGATAACACAACAACATAACACTGTGTATTATAAGTTTTTAATAATTTGCTGATTTAGGGGCATCTGGGTAGCTCAGTCAGTTAAGTATCTGCTTTCAGCTTTGGTCATGTTCTCAGGGTCCTGGGATCAGGCCCTATGTCTGGGCTCCCTGCTCAGTGGGGAGTCTGCTCCTCCCTCTCACTCTTCCTCTGTGCTCTCTCTCTCTTTCTTTCTCTCTCAAATAAATAAATAATATCTTTTTAAAAATTTGCTTATTTGACAGGCAAGGATATTTTACTGTTTACTGTAGTAAAATATTGACATTTAATAAATAACATTTATTGCAAGTCCCCATGGCACATTTTTTCTTGTTTCTAATTCTGTTCTTCCTGTTTGGGTTAACAAGTTTGGTAAATACTAACATGAAGTCCAGTAATGTTACAGACTGTGGTATGTTTCCCAGGTTCGATGGTATTAATATTGACAGATTGATAATGGCATATTCCTATTGTTAAGCGATTTTATTGAGGAGCATTTTGTTCAGACTTTCAGAAGGTTGAATTGAATTACCAGTTACAGTTCTTCTGGGCTGGCATGAGAGTAGGGCAGTGAGAAAGACCATCCCTTTAAAGTATGAGTACAATGTGTGTCAGTGCTCTACCATATGCGTACCAGTTCCATGTGCATGCACCAAGCTCTGGCTCAGAGTATACTAAAATATTTTTATAATTCTATTGCTGTGAGAAAAAGTAACATTCTTTTGGCCAGGAGATAAATAAACACAATGAATGCAGTCACTGCCCTAGAATTTGCCCAGACTGGTAGAGAAAATGTTTCCAAAGGTCTCAAGAAGTTCACTGTAAGGAGATATAACAGATCAACCTTCATGCAAAATGCAAGTATATACAGTTGACAGCATGTTAACATCCAGGCTAGCACATAACCATGCATACATGCTGCTGGGTTAGAATAATTTGAATTGGAATTAGTGGCAGATGAATGGTCATGTGAAGATTCTCTGGAGAATGAGTTTTAAAACCTTAAAGGGTTCCCAATAGCCCAAGTTGGGCTAAGCTAACCAAGTGGTTGTGACACTTATTAACTGAGAGACCTAAGTAAGTTACTTAAATTCTCTAATCCTTGGTAACTGTACAAATCAAAGTGATAAGGGATTTTCATCAAATTTATTATCTTACAGTCATTATTTATTATCTTACAGGTCAGAAAACTGATATGATTCTGACTGAGCTAAAAATCAAGGCATCAAAAGGGCTGCATTATTTTCTAGAGGGCATAAGGGAGAACAATACCTTTGCCTTTTCTCCTTCTAGAGACTGCCAACATTCCTTGGCTCATTGATCTCCCACCCTCTGCCACCTTCAAAGCTAGCAATGGTAGATCAAGTCCTTCTCAGGCTGCCACCTCTCTGTTTCTCCACTTTTAAGGACTCATGTGATGAGAATGAACCCACCCAGATAATTCAGGATAATTTCATCTCAAGGTCTTCCAGACCAATCACATTTCCAAAATCCTTTCTAAAAGTTCCAGGCATTAGGAAGTGGACATCTTTAGGGGGCGCCATTTCCTCTACCAAAAACACTTCATAATATCTTGGGCACAGAATGCATGATAAAGTTTGTTGTTACATTATAAAGAATAAAATATTTCAGGCCAAGATATTTTCAGTGGTGAAACAGACTGGGTGGTAGGGAGAGATAAGGATGGAAGCAGGGAGAATATTTAGGAAACTATTGAAATTACCCAAGTGAGAGATAACGGTGCTTAAGAAAAAGGAGGCACTTTTGGAGGTGATGAAGGGTGATACATTCCAGGTATAGTATACTGTTACGCTGAAAAGAAATAAAAATTTTTTTAAAAAAAGATATTCGTATTTGCAGGCTTATATGCAGAGTGTAAGAGACAGAAATCAAGGGTAGACTTCAAGACTCACATGTTCTAGAGTGGTCCAGAAATGGTGGGAACATCTAAGGATCTAAAGGAACCATAAGTAGAAAAGATGGACAGTCTACAGCAATCTGTGGGTACTCTACTTACTAAAGACTAGAGAGAGCAATTGTCACCTCTTTTCAGATTGCATCACCAGCCAGATCTATCACCCACAAAGTCTAAGTTCTTGGTACATTGTAAGATCCCCAACATTTAAACACAAGTCGGGGGAATCCCAAGTTATTTTTGTCAGTTTCCTTCCAGTTAGTGTGCTGGGATTCAAAATAGAATATAGATTAAGTTATGAAAAAGTAAATAAAAATATATTTGGTTCATGCCTCTAAGAAGACACTATCACTAATTATCAGTATTGGTAATTATCAGTTAAGTGTGTTTCTATACTAAACTAAGAGACCATGGACAGTAAGAACAGTGTTGAATCCCCACCACCCCCTTTCTTAATCTCCAGCACTTAGCATGATGTTTAGAATACAGGACAGTCTTATGCAATATTTTACTGGACGTATGTATAGATGAGTAAATTGTGTTTTCTCCTAGTTATAAAGGACAGGTTGCTAAAAAGCAGAGGTAGGCTAATGAAACAGGACTACCATGAATAGTAATAGATGTTAACGAGTTACCGAGTGGAATGTGATTTACACTTACCAGATTATATTCCCTTTAGCAATTTAGTATAATATTTCATTTTTAAAAATTCTCTTCAGAGTGACTGCTCATGGGCATGGATTTCTTTTTGTAGTAATAAAAATTTTCTAAAGGTAGACCATGATGATGCATGTACAACTTGGTAAATTTACTAAAAACTATTGAATTGTACATTTTAAATGGGTGAATTTTATGATATGTGAATTATGTCTTAAAATTGTTTTTGCAAAAAAAACCCACTCCAATAAAAGGGCCCAAGGACAAAAAAAAAATTACATCAGCCTATAAAGCACATGACCACAATAAGTAGTTGCGTAATGGAACAGACAAAGACTGTAAAAGGCAAAAGAAGTCTTCTGGGAACCACCATACCCCTGGAGACACAGTGAGACACCACCACCAGAAATGGACCTCTCAGTTCTGTGCCTGTCTCCACTCAGGCTGCAACAAGTCTCCTCATAAGCTCTGTCCTCCCCTGGAATCAAGTCTCCTCAGCCTTCTGAGTCAGCCCGGGAGGGACAAGTACAAATTCTGTAAGTAAAACTGTTTTGTTCAAAGAAAAGACTTGACTCTAGGTGAGCTGAATGTTTTTATCCACAGGAAGAATTTCTTCACAATGTTCAGAATTAGATGAGATAGTCAGATGGTGGGCTGAGATGGACAGCAGAATTTATAGAATTATTTATTCTCAGGAAACCTGCAGCAAAAGGTCATTTTTCTGCCCCGTGTGGGTTGCAGTTTGTGGTTTGTTTTGTTTCATTTTTTAATTTTATTTTATTCTTTCAGTGTTCCAAGATTGTTTTTGCACCACACCCAGTGCTCCATGCAATACATGCCCTCCTTAATACCCACCACCAGGCTCACCCATCCCGCCACCTCCTCCCCACTAAAACCCTCAATTTGTTTCTCAGAGTCCATAGTCTCTTGTGGTTTGCCTCCCCCTCTGGGAATGCAAGTTGGTACAGCCACTTTGGAAAACAGTGTGGAGATTCCTCAAAAAATTAAAAATAGTTTGTGGTTTGTTAAGCAAATGACTTAATCAGGGTGCTATATAAGTTATTATAGTGGTTTGGTGCTTGAAAAAACCAAAAAGGCCGTCAGGAGCTGAAGGAATCATTCCTAAGTCCAATTATTCTTACTAAAAATTTAAAAAAAAATTTTTGAACACTTACTGCATGCCAGGCACTCTATTAGGAGCACGAAATAGTCTACCTTATAGATGAAGAAACTGCATCAAAGAAAGTTTACACTACTTATACATGAAACCATAGTTTTGGGAGCAAAATTTTTTTTAAAAATTGGGTTTAAAATCCCAATTCTGACATTCACTAGCTGTGTGTGATTCTGAACATGTTTTATAACCTCTGTCATACTCGGTTACCAGAAAAGGGGAATCAAAGTGAATTTAGTAATACTTGCCAAATGATGTTGTAATAAGAATTAAGAGAATGTTTCTCAACATTCTGTAGCACTGTAATGTTCACAGAACAAATTCCAATAATAAATGGTAGCTGTTGTTATGAGTAATATTTTTTTATTATTGTTACAAATAGTCTCAAAACTCATTAGTGTCTGAGTGAGGATCTGGACACAGATCAGTCACACACTATAGTGATGCCATTAGCAATGGCTTGGACCATACTGATAGAGCTATATCATCTGTTCAGGAGTTAAAGACATAGAAGCCATAGCTCATAATAGTGCAGTGAAAGAAGAGCATCACTGTGATCTGGGGGGGGACAGGAAAATTAATTAGGAGACTGTAGCTTAAATTTTACAGAAGAAAAGGAAGGTTGTACCAGGATTAGAGAGGACAGACTGAACAGATTCCAGGGTGATGGCAGCATAGAGTAGTTTCAAGGAATTTTAGTATCTCCCCTTGATAAATCTATTAGCCCCCTAATAAAGATGTTAGGAACAGGTAAGTTCGTTCAATTAAGGAAAGTGCAATGAAGTACAGCTTCAAGCGCCCACTATGAATCACATTGCTATTACTTAGCCCTCAAATAGAAACCTCTGGATTCTCCAGTTTTTGACATTTTAGAAGTAAAATCAATATGTTTATTTGCAAGTGTTTAATGAACATTTGCACGTAGAGGATGAAAGAGAGGGAGAAGAGTGTGTGAACGTGTGTGTATGTGAGGGCAGTAACTCTGATGAGATGATTTGTTAGTTTGATGTCATTTACTGACAAACGAGACATAGGAGAGAGAGCCAGGTTTGGAATGGGGGAAGGAATAAGTTCCATTTGGCCCATATTGAGGTGGAGGTGTCTGAGGGATTATAAGGAGGGAGTATGCCTCATGGGTAGATAAAGTAGCTTATTCACTTTTGTTCACTGTCACTAAGCAGAGAGCTTTGACCTGCTCTCCAAACTGCTGTCCATTAGTTTTCCAAATTGCCTGTTTTATCACCTCACTCTAGTTCCAGGATTCATGACTGCTTTCAAGCTTCAGCCCAGACATTTTTGCCGTTGCTTCAAAGATCCTGTTAACTTTTGAAATATAGAACTCAGGAGACTCTATAATTAGATTTCAGATTTGCGTGTCATCTGAATATAAGTGCTATTTAAAGCCGTGGGAAAAACCAAGATATCCCAAGTAGAGTATACCAGAGACCAAAAAAAAAAAAAAAAAAAAAAAAAAAAAAAAAAAAAAAAAAAAAAAACAGGGGCTTCTTGAAAGAAAAAGACTCTTAAAGAACACCACAACCGGAAAGACAGAACAAAAACACTGCTCGATAAAGAAATTAAAAAAAAACAAAACACACACACACACAGAATAACTATCACTGAAGCTAATGAAGGAGAAAGTACCTAAAGAAAAGACAAAAAAAAAAAAGGTGCCTAAAACAGCAAAAATTTGAGATGAGAGAGAGGAAAACAAATCTGAAGATAAACTTTTGGATTTGGTGTTTAGAAAGTCATCAGTGACAAGTTGGAGAATTTCCTGAGAGTCATCAGACAAAGAACCCAGATTATTACTGAAGGTGAAGGAATAATAATCACAGGCAGACTGTCCTTTAAATAATATTTTTTGTCATTATAAAAGGTAAGGCAGAAAATTGAGGGAAAAATAGGGTTTGTCTCATTTCCCTTACTAGCGAAGCACAGGAGCCGGTGAAAAAAGATGGTCAATCTATCATAGTTGAACTTAATGTCATGTTGAAAACATCTATATAAATGTGTAAGGAGCATTCCTTAATGGTTTGGGGTATAACTTGAGAACTGAAGCTCCAGAAAAGGAGCCACTGGTATTATCTAAGATACTAAAGAAGGAAAGGAATTTTGTTAGAGTTAAGGGAGAAGGAATGAAAAATGATTTGTTTAGTTATTCATAAAATATTTGGAAATGCCTAGCTCTGCAACTAAAATTGACATTCCCTCTCTTTTCCGTGGAATGAAGATGCTCATGGCCTGGCCTGCTGATTTCGCTCACTCATCTCCCACATCACCCAGCATCATACTTAAGCCTCCAGCATTTTAATTTTCTTGTAGTTGTCCAACAAACCCTGTTATTATTTCATTCAGTTTCTGCCCATGTTGCTATTTATGTCAAGAACACCCTTTTCCTGCTTTGCATCCTTGTAAATTCACATGCACCCATCAAAACATTACACAGTTCTAATTCATCTACTTAGTTAAGAGGTCTTGGAGCTAATTCCTCTTAACACACACAGACACATTCATGTATACACACACTCAGAACCTGCACTCCACACTATTCTATCTTATCACTTAGAAATACTCTACCTGATGCACTCTACAGCTAGTGGTATTTCTTTGTCTCTGATTCCTCTTATATGCAGGGTGCCTGGCATGTAGTACATGCTCCAAACTGGTAAGTTTTCATTTTCATAGACGTCCCTGGGCTCTAATTAAAGATAAGGTTTTCAGCCTTAAAAAGATGAGGCGTTAACAACCTCTCTGGTTTTCTCAGGCACCAAATCACTGCCATTTTATTTGCTTCATTTCCTTAGGGCTGACAAAATATCCAGTGAGCTCCCAGTTTGATACTGAAATGAACTAAGTGTTGATGACAGCTGATCAAGAGCTTAGATGGAGTTATTGGCTATAAAAAGGAATAAGGAGTCTTCTGTGTCTGCACCCAGCATGGATAAGGAGAGGGTACAGGAAGACACAGTTGTAGATCAATGGAAAGAAAGGAATTTGATGGAGTTCTTTTCTGCCAGACTCAGCTCAGATCAGTTCAGCCTACACACTGTGTTTTTCTTCTGATTCCTCAACAAAATGGGGAGGGGAAAAAACTGACAAGAATGAAAATGTGTAATGAATTACACATTGTCTGAATTACCAAAATAATGTAAAGGAACCAGGAAGAAATTAGGATGAAAGATAATTTGTTCCAATAGTAATTTAAAAAAAAATCTCTTATAAAATTTCCTAGCACTCTATAACAAAGTTACAACTCAAACATTGCATGCCATGGTGATGAGCATTGTGAAAATCTCCATGATAGCCAAACATAAGTAACACCTGTGGAAACACTCTGCACCCCCATAACCCTTTTTTATCATTCACCACTGTACACTAGATGCTGAAGTTATTATAAACAGTACTATTCCTTCTCCCTCACTTGATTCTAACATCTTTAAGAATTCATTCTGGCTCAACACTTTCACATATGCTGTTCTAATAGCCTTGGAATACTTCATTTCTATTTACACAAAACATAGCAATCTTTCAAGCGCTGATTTTCCTAAGAAGACTTCTCCAGATACCCCAAGCCTTTTACACACAATTGAACTGTTCCCTTTTTCATAATTACTCTAGCTCGCAAGGACCCTAGGAAGTTGTTAACCTCAAAAGCTGAGACCTAGGTTCTGGAAATTAATAGTAAATAAACAGGTCAAAGACTTGTGGAACATGAGAGGTGAACCCATTTTTTTAATTATCATAAGTACTATTCATTTATTAAGTAGAGTTTAATTTGCCTTTCTGATCACTATGTATTTTTTTAAAACTGTAATTACTAAAAATGTTTTCAAAAATCAAAATATTTATGAAAAGTGCTTAGAGAACTTGTTAAACATCAAACCTGTTAAACTTGTTAACTTTCAGACTTTCACAGTTAACTGAAATGCATGCCAGTTGAGCAAGTCTGTATCCAAGTCATTTCAGCAGCAGGTCAGTTGTATTCATGATACTCAATAAACACTCATCAGAAGCGGTGCCAAAAAGAAAACGTTCCCTTTATTAATGAATGTTTCTTTTCTGCCAACTCTTATTCCCATTAGGAGGTTTAATTGTACAACTACTAACAGTAATTTCATTGGTTCCCTGAAGACACTCTCATGACTCTAAATTATAAAGTCTAAAGTTATAGTTTAATTATTGGGTCAATTTGTACAGCCTAGGACTCCTTTTTCCTCTAGTTTTTCACTGATTTCAATTAAAAATTTCCCAAATTTTTAAACTAAGATTTCTTTAGGGAATCCTTGAGGTACTTTATCTGGGTGAACTTGAGTGGTCTGGAAAACACTTAGGTTCTCCAGAGGAACAGTTACGTTACCAACTGATCCCTCTCCAGTCACAGCCCTAATGTCTGCTTTCCCAAGACTTTCTCTTCCAGCTCATACATACCCACCTATATAGTCTGCAAGTCTGTACTGAATGAAAAACCAAATATAACGTTCACAGTAAAGGTATATCTTCCCGTCCAAAGCAAAACAGTAAAATTCTATTAAATATCTCCTGAGAAGTATATCTTAACAAAATGGAGAACAACTAGTTTTCAGGCAGTTCAAGAGAAAACTCTATCTGAACAAAGCAGCATGCTATATCACAGATGGGGCGGGGGGCAGAGGCCTCTATCCCTAAGGTGGTAGGCATGTGTGTTCTAACTCCACTTCCCAAATGCGACACCAGATGCCACACTGCAGGTGTCACTTTCAAGGCTAGATACTGTAGACATCTGCACATGACTGCACTGGTGCCTAAGCCATCTATTAGCATTTCATAGGTGGTACTTTGTATCATAAGTATCTCTTTCTCAATATTTTCTGGCTTCCCAAATTGTCTATAAGCTTCTCTGCTTTCTACACTTGAGGCTGATATAATATCGCTGCTCCACAGTCCCAGTCTACTTTCCTCTGATGCTAACTATATGGACAAACTAACCTGCTACCTCTTAATCACAATTTGAAAATCCAGAAAGGATGAAATATAATTGACCAGTCTTGAGTAAAGTGACTTTCCTTCATCCAGTCATCTCTGGCTAGAGAAGTGGAAGGAAAGCATAATATGAACATAGCTACAAGCAAAGTGTCCCAGGAAAGAAAAATAATGGACCGAGGTATATATAAGAAAAAGAATGGTACCTACTACAGCAGTTGAAATCTTATACTCCTTTATTAATTTCAATGAACAATTCATTTTTACAGAGTATATAAATATTCATCTTTGGTTAGTTTTTGGTTGAATAAAATTATTTGTAATTGTATTAATACAAAAAATACAGTATTGTTGTTGTTCCAGAGTTTCATCTTGGAACTCTGTGTTTTTAATCTAGCATGTCAAACTTCTGGAATACCACATCTACTTCCATCATTTTCCTCCTAACTGGTGTTCCTGGGCTGGAAGCCTTCCACATCTGGATCTCCATTCCCTTCTGCTTTCTCTACATAACCGCCCTCTCAGGAAACAGCCTGATCCTCTTAGCCATTGTCACCCAGCCCAGCCTCCACAAACCCATGTATTATTTCCTCTCCATGCTGTCCACCACTGACCTCGGCCTGTCCATATCCACCCTGGTCACCATGTTGGGTATATTCTGGTTCGATGCCAGGGAGATCAGCTTTAATGCCTGCTTGTAACAGATGTTCTTTATTAAACTCTTCACTGTCATGGAATCCTCAGTGCTATTGGCCATGGCCTTTGATCGTTTTGTGGCCATCTCTAATCCACTCAGGTATGCCACCATTTTAACTGATTCCAGAATAGCTCAAATTGGAGTGGCAATTGTCATCAGAGGGACACTAATGCTGACACCAATGGTTGCACTTCTTAAAAGACTGTCCTTCTGCCGCAGCCACGTGCTCCACCACTCCTACTGCTTCCACCCTGATGTGATGAAGCTCTCATGCACAGACACCAGGATCAACAATGCAGTTGGATTGACTGCCATGATCTCTACTGTTGGTGTGGACTCAATCTTCATCCTCCTCTCTTACATTTTGATTATTAAGACCGTCCTCAGCATTGCATCCCCAGAAGAGAGGAAGAAAGCCTTCAGCACATGTATCTCCCATATTGGGGCTGTTGTTATTTTCTACTTTCCATTGATCAGTCTGTCCTTTGTTCACAGATTTGGGAAACGAGCCCCAGCCTATGTTCATACAATGATTGCTAACACTTACCTCCTGATCCCTCCTGTAATGAACCCCATCATCTACAGTGTGAAGACCAAACAAATAAGCAGAGCTGTGATAAAAATTATCCATTCCAAAGACACATAGAATTCTAGAGATGGCCTGACACTATCAATTTAAATACAAAACTGGTGATCATGAAACAAAAACTTAAAATTAAAGCTGGAATATATTTAGAACATCAGCTCACTTGACCCTTTATTTTACAGATGAGGAGACAGAGACATAAGAATAGAAAGAATGAGCAGTGTGAAGCCTTAAGTCTATCATTTCTCCCATCCATCACTGTTTGTTCTAAACTGTTGTTTATACTGCCAACAAACTGAATTTTCTGACTTTGTCTACTTTAGAGCAGTTGGTATCAAACATTATGAGAAAGCCATATCTTTATGAGAAATAGGCAGTATTTTTCTAACTGCAATAATAATTTTTACTAATATTTATTATTTCCTTTGACTAGTCATGGTTCTTAGTGTTTTTTACTTATTAACACACATCTGAAACAACATTAAAAGGTAGTTAGTTCTTTGATCAATGAGAAAATTGAGGCACAAAAATGTTAAGTTTCTTGCTTAAACATCTCATAAACAACAGAACCGTATTTCACATGCATGCAAAGTGACTCCATGGTCCCCCAACTCTCTTAACTTTAGCTATGTTGCTACCTATAATATAAACTATATATAAGTATACATGTATATAATTTGTATGTATACATATATATGAGTCCATGTAATTTGTACTAGGGGACATAAAGAAGCAAAAGAAACAAATAAACAAACAAACAAACAAAAAACCTCACAACTCTATCCTCTAGAAATTTTCAACCATATTATGGAGAAAAAATCCAAAACAGAATTTTCAAACCTGAAAAATACAAATATATTTCTACTTTATGTTCTTTCCTAAGTAAATATATTCCAGAATTTTTCTCTGCCTTCCATCAACTTTCTGCCCCAGCAGAAACCCAAAAATGACTAAGAATTGTAAATGAATTTCAATTTGTGTCATTTACTTGGAAATGTTTAGTTTGTGGCATTTACTTCACATAATGGCTTAATCCAGCAAGTAGGAATGGCCATTAATTCTCAAATATTTAAAGTACATATTTCAATGGTGCATTGGTATCACTCCATAAAGATGGGCTCTATAGGGGGTATGAGATCCAGCAAGGAAGGATTAGTCATTGATATCCAGGAAATTTATTAAGTGACAATTAAGTACTATTTAATAAGCAGATGGTGTCAAAATTCTCAGTAAGAGAATAAGTAAGCTTGACAATAACATTTTCAGTCTCCATTATTGTTGGTCTTCATTTCCATGATCTTTCTATGTTGGAATGTTCTAGGATTTTGTTCTCAGACCTGTTTATTCTTTATTATATTCCCATTTTTGGTTATCTCATCCAGCATCATGGCTTCAAATCCCATCTACATGCTGGCAAATCCCACACTAATATTTATAGTCCCAACTCATATCTTATGTATCAGTACTCCTACTTGAATGTTTAATAATCCATCTCAGACCCATCATGTCCAAAAACATATCTTAATGTTCACATCAACCATGTCTTCCCTAACTTAAAAACTCTATTTTTCATGTGGCTGAGATAGAGTTTTTGGAGTTATTACTGATACCTGTCTGACCTCCTACTCCACATCCAACCTATTGGCAAATGCCGATGACTCTTTCTTTCAGATATTCCAGATGTTGATACCTGGAATATAACTGCTTTCTACTACTTCAACTAATACCACCATGTGCCCAGCCATCATAATAGTCTCCTGGTAGATCTTCCTTCATCCACTTTTACTTTACTTTCCTCATTGTAGTTAGAATGATTATTTTAATACATAAAATAGATCATGCCACTTCTTCCATTCAACATGTCCTGTGGCCCCCTGTCTTACCCAAGGAAAATTCACAGTCATTATAATAGTTCATGAAAATCTGTATGATTTAACTCCCTTCTACCATCTCAACTTCATCTCCTACTACTCTCCCCTTTATTCATTCTACTATACCTGTACTACCTCCAAATATTTCCTTAGTATCACCATACATGTTTCAACACCAAACTTCACACTTTCTGTCCTCCCTACTTGGAATGTTCTTCCCCCAGACACCCTTGTGGTTTCCTGCCTCACTTCATGCAGGTCTCTGCCTAAGTGTTACCTTCCTACATTAAAAACAACCACCTCCTCTCCCTCGATTCCTGTCTGCAATTACTCGCTTCCTTACCTATCTTATGTTTAATACCTGGCACTCCCTTTCCCCACCAAAATATTACATACCTATTTATTTCTTCTCTAGTTTCCCCATTACCAGGTAAGGTCTTTAAGAATAAGAATTTTTTTCATTCATGGTGTCTTCCAGACCCCAAACCAGGGTCTGCCACATAATAAAATAATAGTAACCCTGTTACTACTAGCTATTAATAGTAGCTGGCTCTATTTACCTCTCAAGCCTCATTGTTTGCCCTCTGTTCAGTGCCCCAGGCACAATGAACCACTTGCATTTCTTAACTGTGACTGCTCTGGATCACTCAAAAGCCTTTGCACAAACTGTTACCTCCCTCTATACCACCCTCACTATTTCCCTTCTCCTGAAGTAACTCTTGGAGACATTCCCTGATGTCTCAGGGACATCATGACATCATGACACCCTGTCTGGTGTCCTTTCCAGGTGCTTCTGCAATATGTTGTGGTTCTTTCTTAGGACATCCCTTTTCAGACTCTCTCATAACTGTTTTCTTATCACAGATTCTGTGCCCACTTTCTAAGACCAGGGACTATGACTCATTCATTCACTATTGGAAAGAAGTGGAAAAAGTTCAGAAGATGTAGATTTACAGGCTATATATTTGGTTTTTTGTTGGGGGGGGGGAAAGAAACTTAGAGAAAAGTGATGGGGTACACAAAGTCCTAAAAATCAGAATGAGAAGGAACTTCAGTCTAAAGAACCAGACAGCCAAGATGTTCATACTACTTCTACAGATGTTACTCTTCTACTTCACCACCCCTTACATACACACTAACCTATGGATGGCCCCTCTATCCAACGACCCTGGAAACTTGTAAGCTTTTCTCACTAGGGAGTGGGTACTTTGAACATTTGGGAATGGGTGATTTGCAGAGCAAATATCACTCTACTCAAAGTTGACATGTTCACAGTGAATTGAAGACTTTTCTGAAAGCTGGGACAGTAGTAAATGCACGGCTGCTGTTGTAGCTACCTTTATTCAGACTCCAAGTTAAAAACTTTAACTGCCCTGTAAAAAGTCCTATAAAGCCCTATACGATCCAATTCCATATTATCTATCTATCTATTTTTCTTCCCTTTATTCTCTCTGCCCAGACACACCAGCCTCCTTATTATTTTAAACCCCTAGATACACTTCCTTCTCAGAAACCTTGCAGTTTTTGTCTTTCTTCTTTGGATGGTCTTCCTCAGAGATCTCATGGATATATTTCTTACTCCCTCCAGGGTTCTCCTCAAATGTCTCCATTATATGAGGCATTCCCTGCCAACTTCAAATTAAAATTTCAACTGCCCATCCCAATATTTGCCTGTTCTCTTCTTCCCTTTATTTTTTTCTCCTTAGGTAGTCATAAGGAGAAACTATTTAGTTTCTCATATTAACCATGAACTGTGTGTCCCTCTCATCAGGATATATAATCTATAAGGGTGGGTTTCAAAAAATTGCATATCTTGTTATATTGCAAGCCCCTGATAAATATTTGTTAAATGGGGATGAATAAAGAATCAGAATACCTAGTTCTCCAACCAATATCACTAAAAACTCTGTGACCAAGGCAAAGAGCCTTCATCTCATTCATTTCTTATCTGTAACACAGGTGCAAGAGAGTGACTTCCCTATCTCAAGGTCTATTTCATCAACTAAAAGAAGAGCTGAGAATGAAAAACTGAAGTGCATGCCCTTATCCTGAGTTATAGGAATTACTGGCTTTGTGTACCCATCTTGGTTTTTAAAGAGGATGTGAATTCCTAGAGCCCAGGGACATAACTATACACCCCTGTTGCCTGTCTTGGCTAGGAGAGTGGTTAATAAGGAAAATCTCTAACCACTGTTGCTACCTGGGAGAGTTTGAGTTATTTGGAAGAATGGGGATAGATTGTCAAGATCCCTGTATGTGTAAGTGTGGGAATGATGGCAGAGGCAGTGGCAATGCCCCCTTCTTGGTCACCCCCGACAACACACAAACCAGACAGAAAAAGTGGGAAGCCTATGGGACTGACACACAAGTGAATATGGAGATACTGTCCCCTGCCCACCAAGCCCCAGAGACCTCAGTACATACTCCCTCAGCCTATTCCCATGGGCCTCCTAGGCAGCATTATAAATAGACCTGCACTTGAAAGAGTAAGCCAGCTCCACCTGCTCTCTCCTAGGATTGCATGGTTTTCAAGTGAGTGCACGCTCACACAGGACTGAGAAGGCCAAACTCCTACCATCTTAGGAGATCACGAGGACCCCACAGCTGTCTCATGAAGAATCCTGGGGAGATGAACAGGTTTACCCAACTATCATTGATGAAGATACCTATAGAGTTTATTCCCAAGATTCAGAGGTCCTTCTTCTTGAAGCCAAGCCCTTAGCTCTTTAGAGACAACTAGCTCTAAAGAAGAGGGTACCTAAGGAGCCTAGCAGGGAAAGTGTTTGATGAGACCAAATCCTAATGTTTGGGTGGCAGGGCAGGGGCAAGGCAATGCTGGGCTTCCAAAAACAAAAACTTCCAAAAACAAAAACTTACCCTACCATGAATGGCTTGTTGGTAGAAGTTCCAGGAAAGACAAAGCTCTAGAAGTATCAAGGCTCAACCCAAGTTTTCCCTAGGGCAAGAGTGTGGCCTGGAGGTCGCTTTCAGGTACAGAGAGACACATCAGCCAGGATCAGAGAGAAGAGCCTTCACAAGGGACAAGTCCAGGCAGCTAGGGTCTGATGGAGGCCACATATCCTACCAGCACCTTCATCTCCAGATAAGTCACTGGAGAGAGCTACTCCCTTTCATTTGATGACCCCAAAGGAGTTTCCAGACTTGTTTTTTTTCCCCCCTTAGGTTTTTTTCTCATCTTTTAAAAATTATCATTTTTGTGTTTCTTTTTCCCCTTGCTGACCTTATACCTAGGAACCCAGAATCCTGAAAATTTGAAGGAAAAAAATCCCTCTCCCCACTCGCTTCATATACCCATTATTCCCTTCTCTAATTCCTACTCATGTTTGAAGGCTGCTCAAAAGGATTATCTTTGTCAGGAAGTCTCCTCTGATCATGCCTCTCCCCATCCTATGCATTAAATGCACACCTTAGGCTAACACTCACCCCCAAACTCTAATGATTGGGTTACTTGTCTATCTTCCACCATAGGCAGCGTATCTGAAAAGCAAAATATGTGTCTTTCATCTCTGTATCATGAGCATCTAGCAAGTAGCCTTGTACATAGTAGGTCATATAAGTAGATGCTTATAAAATGATTGAATAATTGAGGGAAGAAAAAAAAAAGAACATATCTGGAAAGGGTTCTCAATAGGGTACCTGTTAACACCTGTCTGAGAAAAGGACCACCCAATATCCGGGTTGTGAAAGTGTGGGCCAGGAGGAGTCCGAAAGAATTTGGAAAGGATACATTTGGGATAAACATTGTTCTCCCTAGATTCCGTTTTTTAAAATATAAATGGGACATGTCTGAGTGCCTCAGTCAGTTGGGCATTCCACTCTTGGTTTAAGCTCAGGTAATGATCTTGGGGTCCTGGGATCAGACTCCACATTGGGTTCCACACTCAGCAGAGTCTGCTTATCCCTCTCCCTCTCCTCCTCCTTCCACTTGTGCTCTCTCTTTTGCTCTCTTTCTCTCAAATAAACAAGTAAATAAATAAATCTAAAAAAAATTTAATGTAAATGGACCTGGAGAGGAGCAATTGATAAATGAGTTTGAGCTATCATTTTCCCCTTGGAAGAGGGCTTCAGAGCTTATGAAAGAGCCTAAAGGGCTTGGAAGAGTGAGAGGGAAGAGTAGGAGAGGGAGAGTTAAGGTGCATTCAGTTTCCAGGTTTCCGGGGTTGGCCTCTGATTGTGCTCCATGTCCTAGCAGGCTAGCAGGTTGCCAGGGTGACCTCACCCTCTCCAGCGCCCCTTCTCGATGCCAGCTATGAGTTCCTGCAACTTCACACATACCACCTTTGTACTTATTGGTATCCCAGGATTAGAAGAAGCCCATTTTTGGATCGGCTTTCCCCTGCTTTCAATGTATGTCATGGCAGTGTTTGGAAACTGCATCGTGGTCTTCATCGTAAGGACAGAGCGCAGCCTACACGCTCCCATGTACCTCTTTCTCTGCATGCTGGCAGCAATTGACCTGGCCTTGTCAACATCCACCATGCCCAAGATCCTCGCCCTCTTCTGGTTTGATTCCCGGGAGATTACTTTTGATGCCTGCATTACCCAGATGTTTTTTATTCATGCTCTCTCAGCTATTGAGTCCACTATCCTGCTGGCCATGGCCTTTGACCGTTATATAGCCATCTGCCACCCACTGCGCCATGCAGCAGTGCTCAACAATACAGTAACAGCCCAGATTGGCATGGTGGCTGTTGTCCGTGGATCCCTCTTCTTTATCCCACTGCCTCTGCTCATCAAGCGGCTGGCCTTCTGCCACTCCAATGTGCTCTCTCACTCCTATTGTGTCCACCAGGATATGATGAAGTTGGCCTATGCAGACACGTTGCCCAATGTGATCTATGGTCTTACTGCCATACTGTTGGTTATGGGCGTGGATGTTCTGTTCATCTCCTTGTCCTATTTTCTGATTATACGAACGGTTCTACAACTGCCTTCCAAGTCAGAGCGGGCCAAGGCTTTTGGAACCTGTGTGTCACACATCGGTGTGGTATTAGCTTTCTATGTTCCTCTCATTGGCCTCTCAGTGGTACACCGTTTTGGAAACAGCCTTGATCCCATTGTGCATGTTCTCATGGGTGATGTTTATCTACTCCTGCCTCCTGTGATCAATCCCATCATCTACGGTGCCAAGACCAAACAGATCAGAACTCGTGTGCTAGCTATGTTCAAGATCAGCCACGACAAGGACCCTCAGGATGTGGGAAGAAGGTGATCATTACCATTCTACTTTCCCTTATCTTTAATGGCTTGACATAAGGATTTTTCCTAAAGCTAGCTTAATTCTAGTTATCTGTAAGCATATCAATGATTTTCTCTGCTGTGGTCTCCAAATTCTGCCTCTGCTTGCGGTGAAACTTTGGAGGCTCCTGTGATTTGTTTCAAAATGTTATTGATGTTATTGATAGTGTTACTGTACCAAAAGTCAAAATTAGAAAATCCACCAATGTTCCAATATGTAGTAAAAAAACATAAAGAAGAGTGACAAAAAATACAACTGGCTTTTTAACAGGGAAAAAATTATTCTACCTGACTAATAATCTGAGAAATAATATATTAAATCAACAACTAGATGGCATTTTTATCTATTAAATTCACAGTTTTTATTAATGAAAATTCACAATGTTGAAATATAAATGCATGACCATCAAAAGTGATGGTATGATTGACATATGTAGCAAGAATTTTTTTTAATTTTTTAATTTTTTATTAACATAGAATGTATTATTAGCCCCAGGGGTACAGGTTTGTGAATCATCAGGCTTACACATTTCACAGCACTCACCATAGCACATACCTTCCCCAGTGTCCATAACCCAACCACCCTCTCCCTACACACCTCCCCACCAGCAACCCTCAGTTTGTTTTGTGAGATTAAGAGTCTCTTATGGTTTGTCTCCCTCCGGATCCCATCTTGTTTCATTTATTCCTTCCTTACCCCCCAAGCCCCCCACATTGTAGCAAGAATTTTTTTTTAAAGTTCTATGCTTTAATGCTATATTCTCACTTTTGGAAATCTATCCTAAAAAAATATTCCTAAATGCAGAAAGCAGGTTTCTCATAAAATATATTGATTACACAATTATTTAAAGAAATCATATTTAAAATACTAGGATATAATACATAATAGTAAGAAATAGTAAACTCAAGTATGGCCCATTTATTTAATGGAATATTATGTGAATAATCTATATAAAAGTAATATTGTGTAACCTTTAAATAATCTGCTATAAAATGAAAAATGCATATAATATTAAAAATAAACAATAAGGATACATGATTGAAATTAACTTGAAAAGCACCTATGCCTTGCCTTGAAGGAAATGTGCTCAAATTAATAGTGACTCACTTTGGTTTTACTTTTTAAATTTCTTTATTATGGAGGTCTTATTTAACTGACATGTAGCTTTCCAAATGAAGAAAATGAAAGTGATAATTTACATAAAACAAAGCTTGTCACAGATCTCACTGCTGGTTTACTATGCATTATCTGGGAATTTATCTAAGCCCTACACAATAATGCCAATGAACAGGTCTTGAGTGCTTACCATGTTTTAGGCATTATGCTAAGTACTTCAGAGGTTTTATCTGATCTTCATGACAACTTTTTGGAGTAGAAACCATTTTGACCCCCATTACAAGTGAGAGAAAGGAGACTTTCATTAACAAGATAACTAAGCTGTACAGTTTGTGAGTGCTGTGCCAAGATTTGAAATTGAATTTGATAACCAAATACAGTCATTTAATTTTCATGTTATATTGCTTCCTGTTAACATCTGCCATTTATTTCCTGGACCTGTGCAAACTCTGTCTGCTCTCTGCTGTGTGACTTATAAAATGAATGACTGTATTTGGGTTGAGAGATAACCCTGCCCTCATGAGCATCAAATCCAGAGAACTGTTCATGTTTTATAGCCACATTTCACGTTCCACAGTCTGTTTCTTTCCAGATTAAGGAAAATATTTTTGTCTTTTTATCTCTTACATCTTCTCAATCGTATCTCCCTTTTTAAAGTATTTTTTGTACCTGTCAAACATTTTGAATGTCTGGGTTTTAACTTAGGTAGAAGATATAATAAAATATTATTTTAAATTTTTCTGTTATGCCTACTGCTTTTATTTTTATAGCATCCTATAAACTCAGATTTGAAGATACAGGAGGTTCCCTACTGCTTGTACAACTGTAAAGATGCTGAATGTATCAAGGTGGTATATTTCCTATTTTTTTAAAGATTTTATTTATTCATTTGACAGAGAGAGAAACAGTGAGAGAGGGAACACAAGCAGCGGGAGTGGGAGAGGGAGAAGCAAGCTTCCCTCAGAGCAAGGAAGGCTCTATCCCAGGACCCTGGGATCATGACCTGAGCTGAAGGCAGATGCTTAACTGAACCACCCAGGCACCCCGGGATATTTCCATTGTATTGTTGAACTCAGATCTCATGAGAAGCTGAAATCTGACTACAATCATTGGGTTCCCTTAATAGCTTCACTGAACAAATCTTGTATGGGGGACTTGGGTGGATAAACCATGGGGGAGACTCCAACCTGTGGGTTCTTTCTTAGGGGAAGGAAACCTCAGACACTTAACCTCTCTTCTGAAGAAGGGCCCTTCTAGTATATATATCTGTGAATATCTAATTGTGATTAATAAAGTGGCCTCCAAAGTCATGCAGCTCATCAATGCAGATAGACTAGGCTGAGAGAAAGAGAGAAGATGGAGGAAATGGGTAACTTCCCTAAAGAAACAAAGAGATGCCCGTAGTCTGTAAAAGTAGAGATTCAGCTATCAGGACTCACCCCGAATAATGATGTTAGGACCTCATTTTATTAGCTTGAACCTCATTATATCTCTCCCTACCACCTCCATAGTCTTCTATCTTCCTATGCATTACTCAGGAGAGTACTAAATCGTTCCCTCCTGCCTACCTCCACATGCTTAAGAGCATGGCCAGGTTGACAATTTAATAAAGCTTGTATGTTTTGCTTTCAAGTCTCTCACAGTATTCCAGTACAGCCCAACTTGCTCATATTTTTCCCATCTCCCCCACCCTTCCCTCTGCCCTAAGATTTTCATTTTTTTTCTATTAAACACTGCTTTCATTTTTTAAAGTTTTATTTTGATTCCAATTAGTTAACATACTGTTATGTCAGTTTCAAGTGTACAATAGTGTTTCAACACTTCCATACAACATCCAATGCTCATCACAAGTACATTCCTTAATAACCATTACCTGTTTCACCCATCCCCCCACCACCTCTCCTCTGGTAACCATCAGTTTGTTCTCTTTGGTTAAAAGTCTGTTTCTTGGCTTGTCTCTCCCTTCTCTTTTCCTTTGCTCATTTATTTTGTTTCTTAAATTCCACATATGAGTGAAATCATATGATATTTGTCTTTCTCTGACTGACTTGTGCTAAGCTAAATAAGATTTTCATTTTTTTAAAGTATTTCAGGGACACCTAGGTGGCTAGATTGGTTAAGCGTCAGACTCAGTTTCAGCTCAGGTCATGATGTCAGGGTCCTGGGATCAAGCCCAGAGCAGAGTCTACTTGTCCCTCTCCTTCTCCCTCTGTTCCTCTGCCTGCCCCTGCCAAATAAAGAGAATATTTTTAAAAAAGTATTTCAAAGACTTGTTTGCCAATATTCATAGCAACACTATATTCATAATAGCCAAAAAAGTGGAAATGACCCAAGTGTTCATCAACAGAGAAATAGATAAACAAAAGACGGTAAATATATACATTGGAATATTATTCACATACAAAGGAATAAAATTGAGACACATTTGACAATATAGATAAACCCTGAGAATATTATGCTAAGTAAAACAAGCTACCCACAAAAGAACAAATATTGTATGATTCCATTCATACGAAATATGTAGGACAGGCAAATTCACAGAGATAGAAAGTAGAATAGAGGTTACCAGGGGCTGGGGAGGGGAGGAAAGGTGTTATTTAATGAGTACATAGTATCAATTTGGACTGATTAGGAAGTTTTAGACATGGATAGTGGTGGATTGCACAACAATGTACAACTTAATGCTACTAAATTGCACATTTGAAAATTATTAGAATGGCAAATTTTATGTTATATTTATTTTACAACAATAAAAAATCACCAAAGGAAAAAGGTGAAATTTTCACTATCATTATTGGGTTTTTTTTTTTATCAAGAACATGTTAAGGAGAGGCTGGGTGGCTCAGTCAATTAAGCATCTTACTCAATTTCGGCTCAGGTCGTGATCTCAGGGCCATGAGATAGAGCCCCATGTTGGGCTCAGGACTCAGTGCTGAGTCTGCTTAAGATTCTTCCCCCTTCCTTCTCCACCCCACTCTGTTCCTCTCCCAGCTCAAACTCTAAATAAATAAATAAACTTAAAAAAAATTGAAATGATTATATTTTGAATATACTGGGTTAAAGAAAACACCCTTTTATAAAAGTACCTATGGGTACTTTTACCTCTTTGGGATTATATTTAATCTTTGAGATCCTATTTAATCTCCTGTATTAAGGGAGGGAAAGAGTCCTAGTATGGGATTTATGAGCTCTGAACTGTAGTTCCTATTCTGCCTCTAGGTGGGTGACCTTGTCTAATAAACATAATCTCTCTGAATTAACTCTATAAAACCTGGTGATTAAATTAGATGATCTCTAAATTCCAACCTATTTTGAATATTATGTGCTCTGAACACTGAGAAGCCTTAAACAATTCCAGAGGGCCTACAAACCTGGAACCCTGCAGGGACTCTTGGAAACAGCCTTCTGCCTCACATATGAAAGTCAAGCCCCTTCCCTGAGGCCACACCTGCTATTTGCCCAAATATAGTATTTATCAACTTGATCTCCTACCCCTGATGCTTCCATTAAGGCCCTTCCAAATCTCAAAACTGCTCCACAAAGATGGGGATTTTCCACCCCAGAAAATATTCACAAACTCTCTATAAAAGGCAGCTCAATCCAATAGAAAAAGCAAACAGTTCTGACTCATCAAGTCAGTTCACCCTCTGTGAGGCTTGTTTTCCTCATCTGTTTATTAGGGATGATAACAGTAGCTACCCCTCAGGGTTTTATGAGAATTATGTGCAACAAACCACACATAATCCTTAGCACAGAATTTAGTACCTAACAGGAACTCACTAAATACTCATTATGGTAATGATGGTAATGAGAGGGGGTAGCGGGTGATAATCCCTGCCTCACAGTGATATTGAGGAAATAGAGATGTGAGTTTCTGCCTGTGGCAAACAAACCACTGATTTTTCTTAAATACTCATCTAATCATTAGCCTGGAAGCTTGGAGTTTTCTCTCTCTCTCACCTATACCAGGACTAAGTGTGGTGAATGGGGGAAGTAAGATTCAA